TGACAATTGTTTTCAGGTGTATTTATTAGTTTCCCCTGCACACATTTACCAAGGTGGGCTGCCTGAATGTATTTCTGGAGCACCTGAATGTTTTTTTCCCCTCACAAAAACACCGCTGTCAACTGTAGCTTGCTGGCGCTACCGCAACACTTTTATAACCGGGGAAACCCCGGATGCGTACTCACCAAGCTAATATCTTTCAGATGGTTGCGTTTAATGCTTTTCCTCCCAACAATGAACATTTTCTTCTTTTAGACATAAACGTTAGACAATAAGATGTGATGTCCGTGGTTACTGGTAGCTTGTTCAAATAGGAACCTTCTCAGACTCTGATTGGTTCTTTTCACATCTTGTCCCATCTGCTCCATTTGCTCATTGTTTTTTTTCATTCACCCATCTTCTCTATTTTCTGAATAGACTTTTGTTGTTGTCTTTTAATCATCGACAAAAATGTCAATCAATAGTTGTCATATTGTAGGCTTTACAGAAGTAAAAAAGTTTTTTTTCGGTTCGTTTGCAAAAATGTTTTTGTCACAAAAAAATTTACAAAGATTTTTCATCAACAAAGAACACTAAGTACAACCATTTAAAATCTCCCACTGTCCTATTGGGTAGGTAGGTTTTAACTGTTGCAAATCTGCAACGCCTGTCTCCAGAGGGTTAAGAAACCTTCTCTGGATCCAGATGACCCAATGAATTATAGACCAATATCTAACCTTCCACTTTTATCCAAAGTCCTGGAGAAAATAGTGGCCAACCAAGTATGTGAGCATTTAAACACTAATGATCTGTCTGAAGAATTTCAGTCTTGTTTTACAGAGTATCACAGCACTGAAACTGCATTAGTGAAAATTACAAATGATATTCTCATGGCCTCAGATAAGAATCTTGTGTCTGTTCTAGTCTTGTTAGATCTCAGTGCTGCTTTTGACACAGCTGATCACAATGTTCTTTTAGAAAGACTTGAACATGTAGGGATCAAAGGAACAGCGCTAGGCTGGTTTAAATCCTACCTGTCTGATAGATTTCATTTTGTTAATGTACATGACAAATCTTCTTTATAATCCACGGTTACTTGTGGAGTACCACAGGGTTCAGTGCTTGGACCAATTATTTTACAATTTTTTTTGGACCAGTGAACTTAATTCAAAATATTTTTAATTATATATATATATATGTATATATATGTATATATATGTATATATATATATATATATATATATATATATATATATATATATATAACTTGTGAAAAAAATTTTCAGTAGTTGGCACCCATAACAATCTTAGGAAGCAGGCTGAGGTAGCAAACTCAAAGTGCAATATTAAAAGTGCAAAACACTAAAAAATGTATAATCTTTCACTTAAGTCCCTTTTCAATTTTTCTGAATGAACTTTGACTTCTCCACACAGCATAGTCATAGAATAGTAGACGTCGCACCAACCGCTACTGCCTATGTTTGGCCGCATTTGCAGGTTCTACTTTTTATAAACTCGATGTTAACAGGATGTTTTAGCTAGGCTTTAACTCTGGAAAAGCTCCGTGGAGATCTGGAGCTAGAACAGCGAAAGAACGCGTTCATAAACCCGTTCACGCATGCCAGGACGAACGTACTCACTGTTACGTTCGTCAGGCAAAATACAAACGAGTTCAGTTCAAGTTCACGGAAAAAAAAAAACTAACAAATTAATGAATGATCGTTCAATTAACACATTCGGGCACAACACTGATGATGTCATTTTCTGTTATGTTTACAAATATTATTGTACAATATACAGATTTGTTTACTTTATTAATACAGAGAGACACAATGTTAAAATGTCAGTGTTGGTATTTTCCATTAATTATTGTTATTATTTATTATAACAGTTATATTGTTATTAAAATAATTATAGTGTTATTGATCCAAAAGTGTGAGATGCATTCATTCGGCACACCTCTAAACACCTCGCAAAGGTATTATTTAAAAAAATATATAACGTTTTATTAAAATGTTCCATATTCTAACTTTAAGACAAAAGACTAAAACTGACTAATTAAAAATGTCTTGTCAAACTTATCACTGGTACTTAAATAAAAGAGTCATAGAGGTCTCTAAATAATTTCTCTTGGGTGTGAACTTGCTTTTTGGGTTGTATTTATATTATATTCAGTGGCAGAGTTCTTTATACTCCAGGGTTACTTGTGGAGTACCACAGGGTTCAGTGCTTGGATCAATTCTTTTTACTATATATATGCTTCCAATTGGTAAAATCATTAGACAGCATGGGATAAACTTCCAAGGTTGTGCTGAAAATACTCAGTTATATCTATCCATTAACCCTGATGAACCCAATCAGTTAGTTAGATTACAGGCTTGTCTTGAAGACATAAAAAATTGGATGACTCAAAACTTTTTGCTTTTAAATCAAGACTAAACTGAAGTTATCATCTTTGGACCCGAAATTCAGAAAAGGAAATTGCTTAGTCAATCACCTGACCTGAATGGCATTAAATTAATCTCGGAGAACAAAGTAAGGAACCTTGGTGTTATCTTTGACCAGGACATATCATTCAAATCCCACGTTAAACAGGTTTGTAGGATTTCCTTTTTTCCACCTTTGGAATATTGCTAAGATTAGAAGCATCCTTTCCAGGAGTGATACTGAAAAACTAGTTCATGCATGTATTACATCAAGACTGGATTACTGTAATTCATTACTTTCAAGAAGTCCACAGAATGTAGTTAAAAGTCTTCAGCTTGTCCAAAATGCTGCAGCTAGAGTTCTGATGAGAATTAAAAAGAGAGATCATATCTCTCCTGTCTTAGCTTCCCTACATTGGCTGCCTGTTAAATTCAGAATAGATTTTAAGATCCTCCTTCTCACATATAAAGCTCTTAATAATCAATCTCCATCATACATCAGTGATCTGATTGTTCCTTACGTTCCTAACCGAGCACTTCGCTCTCAGACTGCAGGTTTACTGGTGGTTCCCAGAATATCTAAAAATAGGATGGGAGGCAGATCTTTTAGTTATCAGGCTCCTCTCCTGTGGAACCAGCTCCCGGCTTTAGTCCGTGAGGCAGACACTTTGTCTACTTTTAAGACTAGGCTTAAAACATTTTTATTTGATAGGGCCTATGGTTAAAATCTGATATTAGCCTAAATCTGGACAAGTGGGGGAATAGAGGGAGGTGGAGTGTACAGTCGGTAAAGATGGATCTCCCTTGCCCTGACTCCAACATGCCTCCATCTAAAGGTTAGGTTATCCAGAGTTATCTCTGTAGTTATGCTGCTATAGGCTTAGACTGCTGGAGGATACACTGACCACTTTCCACACTAAACTACTTTCTTCTACAATCTGCTCTTTAACTGTATTATTTTCTGCAATTTCAGCTGTTAACTTTATTTTTTCTCTAAGTGTTTTCTCCCCAGAAGAAGCTACAACGATGTTCTGCTGAGCTGTGTTAGCTTCATGGAGGGGGCCATCAGCTTGAACACTGTTGCTAACCACTTAAATAGTATCCCTCTCCTGATAACATTTCACTTTCTTTGACATTGGATGTGCTACTACTAGTTTACCTGTTTAATTATAGATTCACTAGGATAAATACAATAAAGTTTATCTCTCACCAAATAGAATATTTACTAAGACATCACAATATAACTATAGACACATTACTTTGTCTTGTGTGTGTGTGTGTGTGTGTGTGTGTGCGCATGCGTGCGTGCATGCGTGCGTGTGTGTGTGTGTGTGTGTGTGTTTGTGTGTGTGTGTGTGTGTGTGTGTGTGTGTGTGTGTGTGTGTGTGTGTGTGTGTGTGTGTGTGTGTGTGTGTGTGTGTGTGTGTGCTCTGTCTTCTCCATCCCCAGTGAGTCGTGGAGGATGTCTGCTTATACTGAGCCAGGATTCTCTGGAGGTTTCTTCCTGTTAAAAGGGAGTTTTCCTCTCCACTGTCGCTGCATGCTTGCTTAGTATGAGGATTGCTGTAAGGACTCTGACACTAGTCAGTGACTTGATGCAATTTGCTGGGTTCCTTATAAAGGAAACCTTTTTACTGATTGGCTTAATGACCTGACCTGTATTGGAATGTTTACTATGTGAGGTGCCTCTTGTTGTGATTTGGCGTTTTATAATTAAACTTGAACAGAATTGAATGCATGAGTAGAACATGCTAACTCCACACATGCACAGGGATCACACATGTTCACCTTCATTTTAACCATTAGGTCTTCAAGCCAAAGGTGTATTAGGCAGTTAAAGTATACTTTAATGTTGCACCTCAGTTTGCTGGATGTAGCTCCACCTGTGCAGAGCAGCCTCCACCCAGGTAGAGATATTATTCTAAAGTCAAACCACTAGAGGACAGAAGCTCTCCATGGAAACCAGCTGGAATGAAGATGAGAGCTGATTACCTTTGTGGCGTTACTTAATCGTTCCGATTTTTCTCTCATTTTGACAGAAAATGTCATTTTCAGATGGTACGCTGCTTTTTGTTTGTTTTTCTCTTCTGCTTCCACGCTATTGACGTGTAGACTGTATAGATCCATACAGCGACTGCCTCATGTGAAGAGCTGCGTTCCTCTCAGCACTTTGCCTTCCTTCTCCCACCCACACCCCCAGCCTCTTAGTGTTCCAAGGCCACCTCAACGCAGACTCAATGGATGAGAAGCACTCTGAAAAACGGCGGCTATACTCATGCACAAACCTCCCGCGCTCTGCTCCCAGCTCCGTCTCCAAGGCTCAGCTCTCAGATGGGCACACTGAAATCAGAATGCATTTTTTAAACAAACAATAGGAACATCCCTGAGGGATGCATTCTAGACCTATCTGCTGAGCTTTGTGTTTCCTCCTCAGCTAATCTGTGTCAACTCCGACAAACAGGAACAGAAATAAAAGCCTGTTCTCATTGTGTGGCGATGAATGATGATTTTGAAGAGTCCTTTGCTTTGATGAGTGTGTGGAGCACGGCTGTGTGGGCGAGTGCCGCTGACACACTGCTGCTCTGTGGCTTTTAGGTGGTGAACGGCCCCATGGATGTTGTCAAGAGCATTGACCAAATGGTGACCCGTTTGAGCTCTCGTCTGACGGCAGAGACCGACCACCTGACCATTCAGAGTCCCAACATCAGTGAGTCACACGAATACAAAACACAGAAACACAGAGAAGCAATTTTGCTCCAAAAAGGTGAACCTCAGTTTTTAGATCATGAATCTTTAAAAATAACAGAAATCTAATTATATAACTGCTGACCTCTAAAGCTGACATTCTCTGGAGACAGGATGTACAGTAGTATCACAACCAGGACAGGACGTGGTCTTTTCATGATGCTCCATCGCCCGACTCAGTGGGCTCTAACACATCAGACACATTTTAAGCCGACTTTGGATGGTTTTTGATTCTGTAAACCTGAAGAGACAAACACAGAAACCAGAGACAGGAGTTAGATCTGCAGGGAGAATCAACTAGTCTGGTTTCAGCTGGTCAGAATGATTAAAACCTTCTGAGTGATGAACTGCTTCTGTCCCAAGGGCGTGCTAGTCTGGTTCAAACAGGTCACATCCTTTCATCTCTTATTGAACCATCTTTTCTTTACTTAGGCTGCATGTTTGCTGCGTAACCATGGAGATTTTTACATCCAGAATAACTTCTCTTTAAAGGATGCACATAATTTTCTCCATTATGTCTCAAAGATCTTCAGTGAGCTTTGTTGCCTGTAGCTCTGAAACAATCTGTTGTCATCTTGGAAAATGTTCTCGAGTAACAGGAGAAACATCAGGTTTCAGCTGGATTCACGAAGGCTTCACAGAGTTGCATTAGAGTCATTGTTAGAAAATGCGTTATAAAACACTCTCGGGTGGCTGTAGCCCATGAAGAGCTGATGTCAGGCCCCTTTGGGAGGTGGGGATCAGGCACCAGTGCTGCTGGCTGGTTGTGTTAGTCCTGCACCAGAACAGCATTATTGAAAGCAGAATGGTTCCAGGTTGTGCTGCAGCATAACAACATGGATAAAGACTGGGTCTTTATTTTAAATGGCTTTACTGGTAAAGTACTGAGCAAACTGCCCTCACACCTAACTAACAGGAACAAATTCATCAGACCCACCTTGAACCTTGCCGGCTGAATTGGATTAATGTGTAAAGAAATCTAAGTCTCCATTTTATCTTTTCATCCATCAGAAGGCTTCCTAGCCTTTCCTCTGTGATGTTGAATGGAACTAAGTCTGTGTTATTACTGCGATTTACCACACTGCTGTAGAATATTGTGCAGATGTAAATGCTGCTGTGTCGTCACGAACCCAAAACCCTGCTTTAGACACAAACTCATTCAGGAATCAACAGTCCCATAAACATCTGAAGGTCCTTGTTTTTTTCTGGTTTCCTCTGTTTTAAACAAGCCTCCATGTTGGTGGCAGGGTTTGCCGAGACTTTCCATTCAAAGTGTATTTCTAGGCAGATTTTTTTTTACCAAACACGTCCACGAACCTCCAACAGTGTTCAGTAACGCTTCCACCTCGCATTCATGAGTGGTGGAAAAAAACCAGAGGAGATTCCTGAAGCTGATTGAGGGACATGCCAAAGTTACTATAGCAACACCGTCTCCGCATCGGTGATCAGTTCTGGGTAATGTTTAGACACCTGGTAAAGTAAATAATACAAGACAAGAGCCTAATTTTCATTAACGTAAATCATCATTATGCATCGTGATAAAATCCTGGTCATGTCATTACAACCTTTAATGTGCTTAACCTTTGACCTTTAAACGGAGTACATGTAAACATTTCCAGGAGTGGAGGTGCAGCACCAGAAGCTGGAGGATGAATCTAAAGGATCGAGCTTCTGCGGCCCCGAGACAGAGAAACACGCCGGTCTGGACTGCATCTCAGTCCCACACCAGAAGATTCAGGATCTCCATAACAACGGTACCAGCGTCTTCTCTCACACGCTCTTCCAGTATTTATTTACCGTGAATGCAGAGGGCCGTGTTGTAGCTTCAGAGTGGTGAGTGTGTAGCGTTTACACTCCCAAGGTCCCACAGCAGAGCAGCATTGTCGGGCTTTGCAGCTCAAGCGACGCCTGGAGAAGTGATTTTTCATGAAGCTGTTTGCTCTGACTGTCTGATTTCTCCGATGCTGCTGCTGTTCTGAACGTGCAGGCTTCTACAAGCTCACCTTGGTCAACACTTGGTACGGCTCTCTGAGACCTCTTCTCAGTCTGGAGGAGAACATCACCTTGGAGCCCACGGTCACTGACGGTAGCCAGAGGTAAAACTCACACGCAGAGCGGAGCCAGCAGATGAGCTTCTGGTTGTTGAACACGTGGATTTGTTTCATTTTGTTTTAGAAAACAAGGCTGATGTTTGAAGTAGGGATAGACCGATGTATCAGTCCATCGGGCCAAAATTCACACGGGCTGATTCTATATTAAAGACTATTATAAGTCAGGCACATCCACAGACACCCAGATAGGATGCTGCTGCTGTTTCTGGTTGACGTGGAAGCGAGTAACGTGTTTCAGCAGGCTGCTTTTGCTGTTTCAGAACAGTTTATCATTTAATTTTATATTTTTATTACAATTCTAAAGTTGTATTTATTTTTATTTCAATGCAAAGTTATGTTCCTGAAAGAAATGTACTAATTAAATGACTTTTCTTTTCAATTACCTGTTTTTATATTTAATACTTGGTCACTTTTGTTGGGTTAAATGTTTGATTTGAATTCAGTGTTTTAACATCAGAACAGCAGTAATTCATCTACTGTTTTAGAGTCTTGCTGTTTCTATGTTTTTAAGTAGAAAAACAGCAAAATGACACAAAACAATCTGTTTGTCTCTCTCATGACGTGGTGACATCCCATAATAGTATGAAGAAAGTAAACCAGTAGCTAACCAGTAAACCTTCATCTTTAAGTCCTGATGAGCCGATCTGTCGTTGACTGATCATCTGCTCGGATGGATGTGACCCATACCCTTCCACCACCAGGTACCTGGGCACCGTCCTGGGCTCGTCTGTCATCTCCAGCACGGTGCTGGGAGACAACCAGCCCGTCAGCACCGAGGTCCAGATCCAGCTCCAGCACAGAGTCCAGGTCTACACAGTCTCTTTTCTCTGTAGAGTGGAGCTTGTGAGTGGAATACATTCATCATGAAGTCTGTTTTCAACAGTTCTCCAAGGATACCATGTATGATCCAGTGTGTGCCTTTTGGGATTTTAATCTCAGGTGAGAAGTGAAGATACTTCATTTGGGTTCTCTGTGATGTGGAAACGAGGCTGAAGAATGTTTTGCTTCCTGGTAGTCTTATGTGTGTGTAGACCTGAGTTGTGTGCTGTGTGTGTGTAACCAGTCCAGAGGCTGGTGGGTGGTGGAACACCAAAGGCTGTGAGGTGGTGTCCAAACACCAGGCATTCACGGTGTGCTACTGCAACCACACCACCAACTTCGCCTTGCTGCTGCAGGTTTATGAAACTCAGGTAAGGTCTTCTGTTCAGGCGTTGTTTGTGTGTGTTTTCATCAGCAGCGTGTGTGCAGCTCTTTGTGTGTTTCTCTGTGTCAGAGGAGCCCGGAGAACGAAAAAGCTCTGCAGGTTCTGACGTTCATTGGCTGTGGAGTGTCTCTGTGTGGCCTCCTCTTCACCTTCATTCTCTTCGTTGCTGTGGGGTGAGTCATGAAAACATCAAGGGTGAAAATTATTTGATAAATTCCTCACTTATAAAAAATCTGCGTCTCTCTGTGGAGAAACATTTTCTGATTAAACTGCAAAGACCCTCACTCACACAGTGTTGTGTGTGTTCTGCCTGTAGAGTTCCCAAGTCCGATCGTACCACTGTTCATAAGAACCTGATTGGTGCTCTGGGCGTAGCTGAGCTGCTGCTGATGTGCAGTGACTGGGCTGCTGAGAACCAGGTGGGTCCACAACACGATGTTGGAATCTAAACTTAGAACAACAAACATTTGAACTATTCAAAGGACCAGTGAGGCAACAAGACCCTTAGTGGGACACTGATCAGCCATAATATTATGACTACCGACGCATGAACAGACTCCATATGGGTTGACCAGGATCACTGATTCTCTAAGTCAGAGGCCTCCAACTCTGACCCTCAAGGGCCATGTTCCATGCATGCATCCAGCATGTTTTTGTTGTTTCCCTGATTTTAGTCAGCAGGTGATCAACAGGCCAAACCGTGGATTCAGCCATTGAATAAATGGTGCTGGAGCAGGGAAACTACTAAAACAGACAGAGGACAGAGGACCTGACATGGACATGAGTTGGAGACGCTGCTCCATGACTCTGATGTAGAGACTGAACCGCTCTGCTGTGATGAGGATGGAGCTAAGCTCTCTGGTTAGCAGTTCTTGTTTATTCCAATCCTCACCTGTGGAAGAGACGGGATTAAGACTAGGAACAGGCTGCCAACTGCACAGGGTTGTCATGCTCAGCCTGGTCGGACTTCTGAGAAGAGAACAGGTGTCCGATGGCCTGGGTGGGAGGGGACATGGATGACGTTTGTGGCCATGCTGATGAAGTGTGAGGTTGCGGTATCTTCAAGGAGGTGCTGAGGACATCCAGCAATCTTTTCTGCAGTTTTGATGATCCTCTGCAGGACCTTTTATCTGCAGCAGAGCAGCCAGCCAACCACACAGAGGTGTCGTACTGGAGAATGCTTCTGATGGTTGCCTGGTAGAAGGCCACCAACTGCTTTATCTCCAGGTTCTTCCTCCTGATCACCTGGAGGAAGAACAGCATCTGCTGGGGTGTATGACCAGGCGAGGTCCTTAGAGACATGGATGTCCCGGAGTTTAAATGACTGCACTTGCGCCACTTCTGTGTTCTTGATGAAGATGTCGGTAGATCAGTGTTGTGTTTTTTCCTGAAGTCCAGTAAGATTTATTTTGTTTTTAATGTGTTTAGGTTGTTTGCAGAGCTCCACGTTGATAGATTCTGGACCTCGTCTCGGTAAAGAGACTCATCATCTGAGATTAGTCCAATGATGGTTGTGTCATCTGCAAATTCAATGACGTGTTTGTGAAGTGAGCTTGTGTGCAGTCATGGGTGTACAGAGAGAAGAGGATGGGGTCTCAACATACAGCCCTGTGGAGAGGTGGTGCAGAGAGTGATGGAGCAGGAGGTGTAGGAGCAAGTTTTGTCTCTCTGTGTTCATTTGGTGAGGAAGTCTTTGACCCAGAAGCAAGTGTGGGAGGGCATACCCCAGACCAAGATGGTGTTGAATGCAGCGCTGATGTCAACAAAGCGCATCCTCACATAGCCCTAACCCTGTTGGCTCTGTCGGTGAACTGATGAGGATCGAGTGAGGGACAGAGACTGGCTTTGATGTGGTGAAGGACCAGTCTCTCAAAACACTTCATTATTATGGGATTGTAGGTCAGTTGAGGCTGACTTTTTTTGGGGACCATGATGATGATGGCTGACTTCAGGCAGGGTGGGTCAGCTGCTTGAGCGAGAGAGATGTTGAAGATGTGAGAGAGTACTCCGGCCAGCACCTGAATGGAGCACTGTGCTGGAAAACCCACCTGGACCGGTGGCCTTTTTTAAGTTTACTGACCTCAGCGCATGTCTCACTTCATGTTCCAGTAGAATGAGAGGAGAGGTGTCAGATTTGAGGGGGAGGCTGATGTGTTTCAGGCATGTGCTTTTGCCAAGAGGCCCCCAGGTTGACCCAGTTGATGCTGGAGGGATTATAATTCTGCCATTAGTGAAGATAATAGGGTTAATCGGCAGAGCTGGAAGAGGCTGACGAATGCAAGTGTGCAACAGGGGTTTCTACCAACGAGGCATCAAAAGCACCCTGACCCGCCCCCACATTTCGTTTAATTTCACTTTATCTATAAAGCCCCTTCTGCAGCCTTATTGAATGGCCAAAGTGCTGGACAGTGCTGCAATCAACAAGTACAAGTAAAACAGTATAAAACAGCTGGAAAACATGTAAAGCCTAATAAAAAAGAACACATTACACGCAGGACAATGAAGCCACACGGCTACATCTGCTGCTGGAAAGCCATGACCAAAAAATGCATCTTCAGACAACACTTAGAAACCAGCAAGGAAGGCGACTGGCGCACGGTTAGAGGCAGTTCAGTCGTGGTACCATGGCTGCATGGTTGGGATTGGGCATTTGTCCTGCATGCAATCTCCGGTGGACAGATGATAGTTGGGCCCTGACTTCCTGCACTGGAGGAAATCTAAAGCCCTTGGCCAGAGCTTCAGGAGAGCAGCCACTTGTAAGGATTTCACTCACTTCTGGGAAACACTAAAGTCAAATCAAATCAAATCAACTTTATTTATATAGCACTTTTCATACAAAAAAAATGCAACTCAAAGTGCTTTACAGATTAAAATGGCCCCATAGATCCCACATTCCCATCCCAGCCCCCCTCCCCAAGTATAAAACAATTAAAAATTACAGTTCCCCTCCCGCACCCAACTTTCAAAAGCGGACATACAATCACCCGCACACTCGTCCATGCACACACACACACACGCACACACACATACTCGTGAACACCAGAGTAAACAATAGGCTGAGTTCAGATGGGTCAGGTAATGAACGACACATCATCAGCGGAGCCATCTGCCCTGGCAGCAACAGATCCACGGCAGCAGCCAAGACACCGGCCCATGACGCCCAGTGGCGTAGGGCAGAAACCCCCACCAGTGCCCGGGCACTACCCGGGGAGCGCCCCGGCCGCCGCCGCCCCTGACCACCGGCCCCAAGGCAGAGGGCTCCGCAGAGGAAACACTGGAGGATTTAAGATATATAACATATAAAATAATAAAAGCTAATAATGATAAAAAGTAACTGATAAAAAGTGATTATAAAGATAGTAAAAGAAAACATAATCATATAAAAACACTAAGATGTATATAAAATGATAAAAATAATAAAAGAGATAAATATGTACTTATAGATAAATAGTGATCAGTTAAAAGCTAAGCTAAAAAGGTGGGTCTTGAGCCTATTCTTAAAAGCCTGGACATTCCCTTCGGCCCTGAGGTCCTCCGGCAGCCCGTTCCAAAGGCGAGGGCCGTAATACTTGAAGGACGCCTCGCCGTGGGTGTGAGTCTTAACTTTAGGGATAACTAGGAGACGACTGCCAGAGGAGCGCAGAGACCGCGAGGGTTTATACAGTAAAAGCAGTTCTGAAAGATAAGGAGGCCCAAGACCATTAAGACACTTAAAAACCATTAAAAGAACCTTAAAATCAATCCTGAAACATACGGGGAGCCAGTGCAGTCATTTTAAAACCGGAGTGATGTGCTCCCGCTTCCTGGTCTTCATCAGGACACGTGCTGCTGAGTTTTGTAAAAGTTGTAAACCTGAGATGCTCTTTTTGGGAAGACCAGAAAGCAGGGCATTGCAGTAATCAATTCTACTGGTTATAAAAGCATGCACTAGCGTCTCCGTATTGGCCCGAGAGAGAATGGGTCGGACTCTGGCGATATTCTTAAGATGGTAAAAACCTATTTTTGTGATGTTTTTAATGTGGGGGATAAAAGTCAGCTCAGAGTCGAAAATAACGCCCAGATTCTTCACTTGTAGTGACTAAAGCTCTCCTTACTCACAGCAACAGACTCAGGAACAGCTTTTATCCCCAAACCAAAACCCAAACATCTTCATCTGTGAAAGAGTCATGCATGTGTATGTCTGGATGTTTTATTTTAATGCTAAAAAGAGAAAGCGGGTCAGAGCTGCTCACCCACAGGAATTCCATTCTTTTCTGGTCTATCCCTTCAGGCAGCATGCTTCGTGGTGACTGCTCTACTTCATCTCTTCTTCATGGCTTCCTTCTCATGGATGCTGGTGGAGGGTCTTCTTCTTTGGAGCAAAGTGGTTTCTGTCAACATCAGCGAGGACCGCAGGATGAAGCTCTACTATGTCATTGGCTGGGGTAAAGAAAATCTCATTTTACCAACTGGTTGTGCTTTAAAAGGCAAAAGAATTGCAATGACTGGAGAACAATGCATTAGGTTGCTGTCTTTACCCTGGGATGTCCTCTCACCGGCACTAACCTTTACACATCAGGAATGTGAGGAGGATGCATCGTTGTAGTTTCTGGGTTCATATGGTGAACTCTCTCTAAGGCCCAGTTCACACAGCACCATTTTAAATTGTCCGACGTGCGGAGGTTAACAGGGTCTTAGCTAGTTCCACTGCTGGACGGATGGGTGACGTTGCTGCCCTCTGTTCCACGGTGAGGAGAGCACAGGCAAGTTAGATTATTTTAATCTGGGGCATCTGAAAGTAGAGTACTGTAACCTTCACTCTCATAGCTGATATTTGTACTTCTACTCCTTACATTTTAAAAGCATTATCATTGCTCCTTTTTTATTTTGGCTTGTCATTGTTTAGAAAGACATTGAGACAAACACCTGATTACTCGTGCCATCTGGATGGAGAGCATCTGATCCTGGTTGGATATTTTAAGTGTCTATCATTCTTACACCCTATTAGTTTGTGCATGATCCTTTTCATGCCATTAATGAAACAAAACATTGTTGACAGATTTAGTGTATGCTGTGTATAGAAAACCCCACAATGCTAATTGTTGCTCAGATAACAGTTTTCCTGTCCAGGTTCATCACCTGCTGTCTTCAGAGATTCTTGCAGCGGCTGGATGAACATTTACAATAAAGGTTATTGACAACCTGCCTCTGAAGATTAAACATATGCATCTTTACAATACTTACAGGCAACAAATCAAGACAGCTTCCATCCATGTGTTACAGTTTTTTTTTCAATTGCTAAAACGCGTTTTTCAAAATTGTACGTTTCTTTCAAAACTGCACACACAAAACCCCAAACATAACACACAAATTCCTAAACCGTGGCTTCCCTTTGCAACAAAACCCTGCCACCACATATCGTAACATGTTCCCAAAATGGAACACGTGTTTTCATTTGGTAAACACAGCCACATTTTCACATGACACACACACATACCATTCATTGCTTAAACACAAGTAGCCTTTGGGTGAACACTACCAAGCATTAGGTACACTGAAGAGCAAAACTGAAAACACAATTGTCTAAATGGAACACAATGAATTACACACTGAATGTATGACAATGCCCACTTTTCTCTGAGATAAACATTAGACATCACACAAATTTTGAGACAAAGCATCTTATTTTTACGGTTAACCCCCCCCCCCCCCCCCCCCCCCCACCCACCCACCCACCCACCCCAAGCATAATCATGGGGCATCATGCCGCCGGTCTCTGTCTGGCCAGAGGGCCTCAACAACATCACAAGCGATGTCCTCCTGGTCCAAACAGCGCTGGAAGTACTGCCTCGAGTGCCTCATGACGCCCTGACAGGCCTCAAAGGCCACATCTCTACAAGGCTCCTCCATGGCTTGAAGCAGTGGGACCTGGCTCTGTGGATTCCTTTCGTACAACTTCCACCTCCAGGCTGAGAAAAACTCCTCAATGGGATTGAGAAAGGGGGAATAAGGTGGAAGGTATAAAATGGAAAACCGTGGGTGGTCCTGAAACCACTCATGCACCTGGGTAGCCTTGTGGAAACTTACTTTTATGCTGCAGTCCCTGATTGCAAACTGCTCGCCAGACCCGAAAGTTTAGAGATTTGAATATTTGTGTGTTGTTGATTGAAGCTTTGAGAATTTATGTGGAAAGTGTGTGTAAACCTAAAAATTGTGTGCTGTGTCTTGACAGCAAGGTAACGTGAAATTGACAGAGTGTAAAGGAGGAAAATCAGAGTTCTAATATGATAAGGAAATCTTAAGTAGTGATAAATTGAGTCAAGCAATTGGGAACAGAAGTAGAGGTTGTGAAAATTGTGCCTCATTTTTGCTTTTTGAGTTTTAGCAATCGAAAAAAACTGTAATGCCCAGAAGTCCACATACAAATGAAACTGGAAACATTAGAATCTGGTGTAAAAGTTCAGTTATGTCAGTAATCCAGCTCAGACTGAGAGACCATCTAAAGCACATGTGTCAGACACAAGGCCCGCAGGAAGCGCCCCCTCCTTTGTGTTTTTTCCAGCGTCTGCTGCCGGTGTCTGCATCTCCGCTGTCTCGGACAAACTAATCACTCCTCTCACTCAGCGCCGAGTTCACTCAGCTATTTTCTGATGTTGAAGCCCAGAAACAGAGATTTTAAACGCTCAGTAATGTGTTCACGACTGAAAGAGAAAGTTTTCCAACTAACGTCCAGACAGAGCTGATATAACTCCAGCGAGCAGCGACACGCTCAAACCAGCACGGCTCTGTGGTTGCTGTCGTTGTTTTCCTCCCCGACACACAACAACGTGGTCAAGCTGCTCAGACATGTTCATCAGCACAAACCTATGTGAGCACCTGTTGTCATCTAATGTTGTCATTATTATGATGAAGATGAACAAAACAACAGGAGTCTCCTCCTCAGCTCAGATCAACCCCATGATGCAGGTATCTGGCTGGAACAGGTGAGCATCACAGTAAACCAGTGGAGCAAACTGAGCTTTAAATATGTTGGTTTTATGCTCTTTTTCTGCTCCAAAACATGAAAGTTAACAGGTGAGATGTTGCATTTTCATTTAAGATCAAATAAAATTTTTATTTTGTTGTTGGCCCGTGAGAAAATATTTAACCTACAGTAAACAGGAAGTGGAAAGGCTGCAGATAGATGAATAAAATAGAAAATCCCTTTATTGTTCCTCAGTGGGGAAAGCTAGACGTCACAGCAGTGATGACACGTATTACAAGAGAAAAAAGGAGAATAAAAAATAAGAAAAATGAATAAACAACAAGAAAACATAAATCCTGAATAGATTTTAAAAATGCTGAATATACCACAAGTAATGAATACCACTGATGCCTTTTATTTAAAACTGACTTGCTCGTGTGTAATTTGGTTATTCCACATTCAGTGTTAATGCAGAAATATGTTTGTTTCCAAATTTAAAGGTTCAAAATTGCATATATGTTGATAAAGAAAATGTGCAAATTTGCCGTCACTTTTTCAAAAAATATTAAGTTCGGCCCGCGACTCCGTCTCAGAGTTTCATTTTGGCCCCGTGTGAGTATGAGTTTGACACCCCTGATCTAAAAGCTCAGGAACCCTCTGCAGGTATATTCAACCTTTTCACAATATTCTGATCTGAGATTTATAATGTGGGGTTTCATCAGCTGTAAGCCTTAATCATCAGTTATAACTAATAAAGGCTGAAACATCTGGATAAGCATGGAATGAGTCTGTCTCATAGATTAGTTTCACCTTCTAGGTTTAAAATTACTGACATAAAGGAACTTTTGTACCATATTCTAATTTTTCCTATTTTACATGTAAGGTTCATAGAGAGGTCCTTCACTGAGAAACCATTACTTATTATTTTAGGAAAGGACCAGTCACTCTGAAAATAGTCTCCTACACCTATCTCCTGCAGTAGCTTCTGATAGAAAATAGATGACAAAACAAGGATTAGAAAATTCTGACAGATCTACGTATAGGGCTGAACGATTCTGGAAAATAATCTAATTGCGGTTTATTTTCTTTAATATTGCAAATGCGATTTAATTCACGATTATTTTCTCAAGGGGTTTTTTCTCATATTTTTCAACTAACCGAAGTAAAAAATCTATGTAACTTGTAATGAATATAAACAAGTTTATGTATCTACATATTTATCTACATATCATATCAACAAGTTTATTTGTCTACACATACATAAACACTCACAAGTAAAGACAAAATGTTGTATTTGAAGGTGCGAAGCTCTGCAGCCAGGAGCACATCCCTTGAAGGAGCCTAGGTATTAGCATCAACTGTGAAAATGTATTTGTAGGAAAGAAGTGTGTCCCATTTATTGAAGTCTTTTGTGTTTAGAGTTTTTGACGCTTTGTCCGTGCAGAGCTTCCGTAGTTCAGTTACGTTCATAGCTGCTAGCCAAAAATCAGTGGAGTTAAAGTCTCTTACGGTTTTCAAGCTTTACTAAAATATCTGTCTGTACTTATTTGATTAACGGCAGTTTTTACTTTTTATTAGACTCCAAATGTAATAATTTGGCATGTTCCTAATTCGTAATTTGTAAGAATTTAATTGGCGATATTAGCATTAGCATCCCTAAGGGTTTTTCCATGTAAATTTGCATTCTGCTAACCACTCGCTCCCAGTCAAATCGCAGACTTTGCGATTATAAAATCTCCTTTTGTCACATCGCAATTTAATTGCATATGCCCTAGTCACTTTCATGGACTTGCGAACAACGTCTCGGCTAGTTGAAGCTAACATTAGCATTAGCAACTCCACAACACTTCTTCAGGCTTGCGTTTTATGTGAAGTTAAAACATCAATATTGCAGAGCAAGCAGAGTCAGTGGTAGAGTTGTGTTGCTGTTAGCCAATCAGAAGCAAGATGTCCAAATATCAGGAAATAAGAGAGCAAATCCTGTCGTCTGAAGCTCTCCTCTTATGTGGCTCACTTCTAATTCCTGAAACAACCACACTGGAGCTTTTTTCCCCAGAATAAAGCATACCAGGCATTAATTCCTACTATAGACCAGATGTCTGATGCAGATGATAGATGCAGATGTATTAAAATATGAATGTATTTGCATTGCACTAAAATGCATTAATAATCAAAAGTCAAACAGCAAGCCTCATGTATAGCCAACATTAACATTTTATATAACTTTAAAGTCATGATGACCTTTAGCAAAGATGCTTGTTAGTGGAGGTGTGGTAGCGCTGTGGCACCGCTGAAGCTTTTGTTTTTGATTTCATTTTTCTTAATTACATTAGTTTTACTTTTATACTTTGTCTTTTAGAAACCAGTACTTTATTACTTTTACTTGAGTAAAAAGGGTAGTGATAGCTGAGGAGGCAGAGGGAGTTGTCCAGTAATCAGAAGGTTGCAGGTTCAATCCTGGCTTTCACCAGAAAATGGTGC